AAAGCAAATTTAAGCAAAATTTTACTTATAAAATTTGGGTGCGTCAATCATTTGACCTACTATTATAAAATGATCTGTATGACAAATCATGTAACTGTTATTTAAGATTTCTCTGTAAATAAATACTAACATTCTTTAAGATCTGTTTTTTAAATAGAACATTACTGCATTATATTGGCAAAAATTAAAAGATTCGCCACGTTGAATGGTAGTTCGATTGACATTCAAATCATGCTATTCAACATGGTGAATTTTTTAATTTTTACTAGTATTATATCTTCAAGCAGCTTTAATATGCAGATACATTATGACCAATATTCGTAAAAAAAGATTCATAAGATCGGTTAGTATAAATTATTGTCTAGTTAATTAAATTTGTCAAACTTGTATTTACTCATTAATGCTTACTAACGATGAGATTATGCAAAAATTTGACGGTTCTATGATTTTTATCTAATCTGATTGTAAGATCAGTGTAAAATTAAAGGCAAAAAAAAAGAAAACACAAAAACTCATAAATTCACAAAGGAAATTAGCTTTTGGTTATTAAATAAAAGTTTTAGCACAAAAATTTACCATAGAGTACTGTATAAAATACTCGGGGTTTTATTCAAGAATCTCATTTTTAAAATTGAATAGTACCAGAAACTATTCATAAACCTAGTAATTTTATTGGTGAAGAAGGTGGGTACTTTATGTGGTAGGGTATTATTTTCAGGGAATACTTTATGCAGTACTCTACAGTCAGTGTTGGCATATGATCTATTATGACCTCTATGACCCTTATAACTAGTCATAGGTCATAAGATCATAAAAATAATAATATGACTCATGACTTTGGTTATAATCCTACCCAATAGAAATTTACTTTTAATAATCTATGAAAACTCGCAATTAGTAAACTAATTATCTTGCACATAATTCATATGAAATGCATTAATACGTTTTAATATTTTTTACTTTTTTTTTTTTCTACTTTGGCTATCTTGCCGGTATTTTTTATTAAGTATCTAATTGTTGAGTAAAACAAAAGAGAAACTAAGTCTGTCTAATAATTTGAATCCAACACCCTGCAGTTACTTCAAGAGCATTTACAAGTGATCGGCCGCACTGAGCAGAAATATCTATATGAATATATCATGATGAGCTTTAAACTTAAAACTCTATCTATCTCAAAAAGCACTGTCAAACTACCGCCCTACAATAGGATATCACCAAACTGATAACATCTTCTCATAGAAAAATAGAAAGAAAAAAAGATTTTTTACTAACACTAATACTAAGGAGAGAAAAAAATAAACGAAAACTAATACTAAAAACAAATACAAAGATGAAATGTAGGAAAAAAAAAAGAAAATCTAACAGATCACAATTATAAGCCTGTGTCAGGCTTTTAAAAATTATATCTTACAAAATAAAGAAGCTCTGTATCTAATCCCTATTCTAAAGATATGTATATATAAAAAAAAAACTATACTAATATGTAAAAAAAACAAAACTAAACTAGTGAACCAAACTAGACAGAGTAGCCAAAATCGCACCAGTAGCCTCGGAGTATTGTTAACGGATCAACAGTATTCAAGTTATGTCACTCTCATATATTGTCTCAGATCTGCTCTTATTCATCCTCTAAGCTATATGCAAATGGATTCTATCACACAGCATGCTTTTTCAGACAAATCTAGTCGCATAGGTTTTGGGACTTACCCAAAAGAGTAATTGCTTCTAACAGAACCTCTCATTTTTAGATAAACAACAATACTGGCTGTTTTGGAAATTTACGTATTGATCTTTAGAAGAGGTAAGCTAAGATGTCTACTTTTTTGACAAAATTTACTTGAAAAAAAGTAGTGAGACAACAAGACTTTTTTGTAGTTGTTCCTTGTAAGTTTTACGGTTGTATAGAGATAACCAAAGTTTATAATACTTCTGATACCATTCTAGATGTTCTATGTTCCCAAAAAAACCTTCTGGTTTAGATACCGAATATAATAGAGAAGTCTGCCGACCAAAGCTTGACGTTTACAAAAACTAGTCCAAGGAAGACCGCATCTCGGTTTTATACTTCTAGTACTTTGTCGACAACACATCTACTTCTGTAGGACCAAGTTTATTATTTATTTTAGTATCTTCTATAGTGCTGACTGTAGTTCGGTTTCTTGATTTTTGTTGTTCAGGTGATCATTGAAAAGAGTTGTGAATATTTTTTACTTTTTAATTTACATATTAAAGCAAGAATTTATTGTACAGTACTTGTAAAGTGGATTATATAAAATAATAATACTGTATCTGTAAAATTTTCTGTTAATTCGCTATCAATATTCAATTTAAAATTTTGAAATTTAAAATAACTATGATATATGTATATTAAATTGAAGACAATGTTTACCATATATTTCCAAAAATAAGCTACCCTTTTTTGGACGATTTTGAATACAAAAAACCAGTAGTAGCTTATTTTCAGATATAATCGGTTTTTGTGCAATTCCGAAAAATTTTATTAAGACAATCGATGACGTATATTAAGTAAAGTTTGTTTAGGAGAACAAAATACACATATCCTGAAAATTTTAAGTAAATCGGATAACCTTTTATTAATTGACTTTCGATTTTTACATTTAATGAATATGAATTTCAAAGAAATGTTAAAGAAATTTTAAAAAATTCATCGAATGTAACATGCAAAAATGTATTAATAAAAGGTTATCCGATTTGCATGAAACTTTTAGAATATATGTATTTTGATCTCTTGAACAACTTTTACTTAATAAGCTATGTCGATTTACTTAGTAAAATTTCGACTTTACTATAGAATAACTACTGGTGATCGTATAGTAGCTTATTTTCGGATATAAGAGGATTTTATGTTTTTCTTCCAAAAAAAGAAGGTAACTTCTTTCGGATGTAGCTTATTTTCGGAAATATACAGTATTTATTTTTTGAAATTCGCTACTTTTATGTTAATGAATACCTTCTTTCAACACCAATTTTGCTACGCAGTACTTCCCATTCCAGCAATCAACGCCACTGGTGTTTCTCATTTTACTGATTAATAAACGCTCTATATGTATTATCTTTATCAAATTCAATTACACTAGCATTTCCCATTATAAATGAATTTATTCATTCGTCTTTTCGATCCAATTTTATAAACATTTCCAGTTTTAATAGATTTTAATAATGGATGACTTATATATATATATATATATTTTTTTTTTTTTTTTTTTTAATTCTATTTTCACTGGCATTTTCTCTATTTCAGTATATATGAATACCTTAAGTTTATATTTTTAATAATGAAGTAACTTCTGAGTCAAAATATTGTGGTGCTGCTAAAGAAGAAATGAAAAGTGAATCTAAAGATCATTTTGCTGTCTTATTATCAGCTGGATATTTTTCTTGTCCCCCAAAATCAAAATCTGTGTCCCAATCACTTGTTAATAAAATCTCATCTCCTTGGTCTTCAAATTGGTTTTCACGTTCCCCAAGCTCAATCTATTTGTTAATTGTATTTTTCCATTGTTGTTCTTCTTCTGTGACTAAATTTTTATTTTCAAAATTCTGATTTGTCCAATTACTAAATCTGGTAGCTGCTTTCTCAATATTACTAGATTTAGTAGCTGCTTTCTCAATATTACTAATCCCAATAGCTGCTTTCTCAACATTACTGGGCCTAGTATCTGCTTTCTCAACATTACTGAACTTGGTAGCTGCATCCTTAACGTTATCTTTATTTTTGTTATTATTCACTTGATAATTCAAATCAGTAATAGTTAATTCTTCTTCAACAGGTTCATCATCTGATAATATAGGTGTTGCAATATGTAGATAGCGAATACGATTATCATATTTTTTTGTATTTTTGATTTTGCAGGAATAAAGAATATCATTTCGAATTTTGCTTATTGCCAAAACCTTGTCTAGCTGTAATATCAATCGCAATAAATAAAAATAAATAAAATAGATTATTCATTATCTTATATTATAGACAAATTTGTCTGTAAAATATTGAACAAATATGCTTTTTCTATAAAACACATCTATGGTAGTTTTATACCTATTATGCTTTATAAAAATTCTGTGTTTTTATAAGTTTTGTATATAAAATTTTTAATATATTAGTTAGTATTAGGATTAGAACTAGTGCTTAGAAAGGGTTCTGGGAGTAAAATATTTTTACTTAAAACATTCTGCACTGATTAATTAACTAATTTTTGAGATACAGTAATATATGTATAAGCACAAAATACCATAAGTACGTTTTAGTGAAAGTTATTCAGAAATTACATATTTATATTACAAGAAAAGTGCAAAATGCTTACTAATTAATATTTGATATATTTGTTTAATACGTAATTTTGGGATAAAAATATAACTTATTAGGTATCTTCATTTAGACAAATTTGTCTGCGATTACTAAACAAAATAGATAAAAAAAAAAATATTGTTATTAATCAAACCTGTAGCCGGTTTCGACGATTAGTATATAATAATCCTATTGAAGACCACAAACATTCTACAGATGCGAAGTTAACACAGATACCATAAATATGAATCGCTACTCAAGCTAATTCCAGACCTATTCCTTTAGTTGATTTCCAAAAATCTACCAAATTTCTATTAAATTATACAAATAAACCAATATTATATAGATCATTTTCCCTTTTATATTGTATTAATTCAGCTAAAATAGAAGTAGATTTA